GTCTGATTCAATTTTCGAGTCTCACCGTTCTGACGCCAAGCCACTGGTGACTTAACTGTAGACCTTACAGCACCCAGTTGGACAACAGAAGTTATCGGTCTAGCTGATGTAGACGGATTTTCATGTGTCTCAGCGGGACTATGCGGAGGATACGAAACGACAAATGGGGCTGCTGCTACTGCTGCTAGTTTAGGGGCAGGCAAATGCGTCAAGTGGCTTGAGTGAGATGGAGATGTAGGAGAAAGAGGAAGGAGGGAGTCGGATGTCGCAGGAGTAGGACAAGCTGAATCCTTACGGCCACTTGTAATATGACAGAGTTGGGGAGCAGTAGACTGAGAAGCAGTGGGTTTACGTGAGAATAGAGACCCGATTCTACGCTCCATAGAGTAAGATCATGACAAAGGTAAAATTTTGCCTTTTCTAGGTACGCAGTGACACGCTATCGATGGGTAAAGATTGCGTCAACCTCGATTGATGAAAATAATTTGACTAAGATGGGTGAATTTTTGCTACGGGTGGACAAGCGCTTGGCATCGGCTATTTTGTAGTTGAAATCACAAGAATACAGGAAAGTGGTCGCAACATCAATTGGCCGAGCAGATCGAGGAACATTTTTTAGCAGAAAGTTGTAAGAACGCTTCTGTCTATCACTAGATTCACTGACGATCAGGTGAACAAGTGAGTCGAGACGCCTACATTCTTCAGAGGGAATATCAGAGATGTTCCCGTCGAAGAAATGTCCAAGAATTGTCATCAAAGAGCCAAACTTTAGCATAAAGTCATTGCAGTGGTCAAGTGCAGACAGATTAAGCTGCCGACCAATTACAACGGGTGACGACTGACTAGTAATATCATCTGACTTAGATTTAGGTAAAGCTTCTGACTTACGTTTAGTTAGGCCATGTTTACTTACAAGAGCCGAGAGCTTACGTCGACCAGTGACTTTTGGTCTCATCTTGTCTCGAGGCAATTTGTGATTAAGAAAACTTCTGGCAGACAAGTTGACTGAATTTCAGCTAGGGGGTAACGATGTAAAAATAAATTACAACAGTTAGAGAGAAATCGGATGCACAAAATGAGAATTGCAGAGTGCGATTAGTGAACAACGGGCATAGACTAACAGAACTCGAAAGCAGATGGCAGCAGGCAGTTCTGAGAGAAGAGGCCTGTATTTAAGGAAATTCAACCAAAAACAGGTACTAAAATCGTTAGGTCTCACAGAAAAACCCCTTAAAATAATATCCTCCACTTATTTTCAAATTTAAAACCAGCCGTTGTCGCTGTTCGCTAAAGAAATTGTCCCCGGTGAGACTGGCCGTGGGGATCAGAGACCACGAACGCCATTGCTGCGATACATTCGATCGGTGGATCTAGCACCCAAAATTTGTGGGCGTTTTTCTAAATGCAAAAAAACAATTAAAAAGAACTCACGGTCACTGTTACGTCGGGATGGACAAGATGTCTTAAAGTAGTGAGCGGGTTTAAGATACGTTTATATAAACGCCTTAATAGTAAAAATAATCGTTTTCGTAATCTATAAAACCACAACGGATCAAGGCCTGTAGACCGGCAATGTTCTTGTTATGACAGATTCCGGTGTTCCAGGGTTAAAACTCCCTTGGTTAAAAAATGTTGGACGGATCCCTTTTCTTCCGCTAAGCAGCCCACACGAGGCTAACTAAAAACGAACAGTATTTCAGGCCAGGCCTTACGTACATTTTGTAAAGGCGCATTCTAATATCACCGATTTGGAGTTTCGGAGGATAAACCCGGTCGTCCTACGTGCTTTGGAGATAAAAATTATAATTATTTTTATTAAAGACCCGTCGGGGTCCAATCAAAGCGAGTAAAAATAAATTTACATGCGAATTTTAGACGAGGTAGGCAAAATCTGTCCAAAGTGCAATACATAGTTTTTGAATTAGAATTCCGTTAAGAAAAATGATAAGCGAGGGTGAAAAAAACTCCACATGAAATTTAAAAATGGTTGGATTTATTTTGCAGGAGAAAAAAAAACCTCGAAAAAAAATAGAAACAGAAAAATGCGGGCAGGACTGGCCTGCATGTGGCGGTATAGAATGGATTATAATCGGACATCATCAGGGCCGAAATAAATGTCAGCCGTATTGTAACGGATTTCATGAAGGGATAAGTAGGCGGTTCGGTCACGACTGGCCTGTATGTGGCCTTGAATAAGACAAATAAGTGGCGAAATTGAAAACCAGTCTTGAGGCGATAGGAACCCAGATGCGGTCGGTTACATTCATCTGAGTCCATCCGAGGATGGGGCAAGGGAGATACGACCAGACTACTAGTATATGGCGAATACAGAAGGTTTCGCCAAGAGCGTCGATGGAGCGCATTCTGTGAGGGCATGATACATGAACTGAAAAATTGGAAAAATTAACATTCCTGGTGAGGGTTCTTAGGAAGTGAGACTACTCACAAAGGAGGGAAATGTGAACAGATACGGAAATTTAATGGCGGCATATTAAATTTCCG